TTGCAAAGCTTGTAATCTCATCTTTCTAAAGCATCAAGAACTGTGTCTTAAGACCCCTTGAGCTGAGAATGCCATTGTTTCAAAAGTGGTAACTTGGAATTGAAGTTTCATCGCAAGTCAGAATTTGAATTTCATGTTACAACTTCTAATCCTCAAATTAGTACGCGTTTTGGGTCTAAACATTATTAGCCAACTTTCCCAAGTGGATTAGTGCATTAAAACCCGCGTTTTGGATGAGTTTTGACAAAAGGGAAGTCACACTTTCTTCATGATGCAGACTCACACGAATTCCCTCCCAATTGCATCATTCACCCTTCCTTTTGATCTCATTTTCTTCTCCTATAAATACATGAGCTATCCCATTCGTTTTCTCAAGCTTGAACATCCAAAATCACCCTGCCAAACTCGCTCCATAACTCACTTTTCTGCAACTTCGAAATCATTATTCAAGCCTTTTTCAATCCATTTTTTCTACCAATTCACCTTCCTTGATCTTTCCTGAAGCTAACAGAAGAAGAATTGAGCCTTGTAATCTTTTCTGAATTGATCTCACCAAGTCCATTTACAGAGCTCTGCAACTGAACTTCAATAGGTAGATTTCTCCATCAATTCTTCCAAACTTTGATATCATTGTGAAGCTCCCCTTCTCCTGATCCTTGTGCTTCTTACAATTTTTAAATTCATTGAGAATTGAGAGAGAAATCTCAAATTGAAGGTGTCCGCTATTTTATGGGTTTTTGAATCATATATCTTTGCATACCTTATATAAATTTGACGCGATGGTGATGTTAGGATCGTCTTGAAGAGACGAATCCAATGATACTAGTCTGGGATCCTAATTTTTCCATTTGAAGGATCTCACAAAATCTCCATTGCAGGGCGTCTGGAGGTTGAAGACGATGACATGTCTTGTCTCAGCCAATGATAGCGTCCCAAACGTTTTAATTTCATTGGTTCCCCTTTTTCTGATCCTATGAGTATCTCACTAAGGTCCATATCAAGCACAGCGCGTCTGGTCCATTGGATCAGCTTATTAACGCGTTTGACTATGATCTGATGGTCCACATCTTTTTGATTTTATTTTATTTTCTGATTTTATATTTTAATTAATTTAATTTTAAAAAATTCATAACTCTTTTATTTTTTATCCAAAAATTATGAAAATTTTCACAAAAATACTTTAAATTATTTCTGATCTTATGACTATTTTTTTCATATTTTTATTTTGACATTTGATATTTTTTATATTTTTTGCATTATTTTCTTTCTTTTAATTACTTTAAAAATACTTTCTGACATTTTTTAATTCTAAAAAAATTCATAAATATCATTTTAAATATTTCTGACTTTTTAAAAATTTTATGGAATTTTATATTGATATTTACTATTTTTGATCTATTTTCTATTTGTTTGAGCAATTTTAATTAGTTTAAAAATAGTTTCTGACTTTAAAAAATTACCAAAAAATTTATAAAAATATTTGAGTCTAATTCTGATTTTTCTATGACCTTATTTCTTTTTTATGAATCAATTTTAATATAGTTGATTTTTTTCCTTTATTTTCATTTTTATTCATTTTAAAACCCTTTTTAATGCATATATTAAATGTAATATTATTTTGTGATTATTTTCTGGCTGATCTTGAGTTGAATATTTGATCATGAACTTTGTTAACATCATTGGATCCATGGTGTTGAGTCTAACTCCATAAAAATGGATGAATGATTTTAATAATAGTTTGATTAAATTTTAACTCAAATATGGTTTGCATATTCTTTCTCACCCCTCTTCATCTTATCCCTTTCTTATTCCATTAAGTGATATTGGAGCATGATCTCTATATCATGTCCTAAAACAAATAGTGCATAGATTGCTATTGACCGACCTCAAAATAGGTGTGACTTCTACATAAGTCCACTTACGATTGCTTAACATAGCGCTAAATTTTGTCTTGATTCGAACAAATGATCATTCATGACCCAAACCTATGTTTGCAAGCCCAAGTATGTTAATTTAATCTCTTTGATCCAATAACCTTGAGATTTATTGTGTGGAGGCTTTGGTTCTACCAATCCTCTAATGGATCTACATCACTTTTGGTCAACGCGGATCACTTAAACATCATTGATCATTAAATGGTACTTTTGAGGATTCCAAAATGGATGATATACTTGACAAAAAGAAAATGTAACTTGTTGTGTGGAGGCTTTGGTTCTACCAATCCTCTAATGAGTTCCAAATACAAGTTTCAAGATGGTCATCCAACTAAGCACTAATTTCTAATAATTGACTTTATTTTGTGTTTTTATTTTATGTACCATTTACTTTAAACATTACATTTTATGCTATTTTTCATCTTGGCTCACTTGAGCCCTTTTATATTCTTGTCATTTTTATTTTGCTCACTTGAGCTTTTCTTTTTTTTTTTGAAAATACCTAATAATTAACATGAACCATAAAAAGTTTTAATGATACTTGAACTATTTGGTTACTATCCTTGGCATTATGGAGTATTGGACTTCTTGGACTTAGGATTAAAAACCTTGGCCTATGTTGGAGACTTTGTGACCTTAATTGATATTTTGTTTGCAGTTCTTGGGGTTTACCTCAAGACATTGGGTTGTTTGTTTGTTTTGTGTGCAAGTTATTATGATTATATACTTTGTTTGTAATATGGAATTCACCAGTATACAGCCGTTACTCTGTCTAATTTTTGTGAAGACTTAATACATTTGAAGTTTGGTTCTCTCAAGAGGTTTAGTATCTTTGCTTGCTTGGTTTCAATCCAAAGAACGGGAATTCTATCTTGACTCATAATGTCAAGTATTAGCTTCTTGTTGGTTAGATGGATCTTCTCCCTAGCTTTTACCTTATGCTTTAGGATAGTCCCTTCATCTCCTCCCATTTTCTTCAATTTCAAAAATCTTCTTCCTCCTTTTGAAAACTCTTCTTGTTTTTTTTTAAACTTGAATCACTTTCAAAATAAACTTGGACTTATGTCCATGCATTTTCAAAACCTTTTCGTAAATAAACTTCAACCAACTTAATAATACCTTGACATTTTTTGTGAGAAGACTAAAAGTCAATCAATCTTATTTCAAATTATTTTGCCACTTTGACTTTTACTTTAAACTTTTGTCAAAAGATTAGACTTTTGTCAATCCTTGTAGTGATGCAAACAACCATATTGTTGATTTTAAAATCCAAGTCATATCCTCCACTTTGAGATGATGCAAATTCTCATTTCTCATGATTGTGGGTAGTAAGTATGTTTTCCACACGGACAATGACGATGATGTTTTATCTCATAAAATTAACCAACACACTTGTGTTTTAAAACTTTTAAAGAGGAACTATGTGTACCCTGATCCCCTATTGCACGGAAGGTGGTACGTAGACACTAAAGATTCGCAACCGCGGCGGGTGCAAAAATCATAAAAAATACTTCTTTTCTCACATACACCATCTATTTTTTATACAATATTTTATAGCCAAAATATACAGATTTTACAAAGAGGTTCCTACGGAGTACCGTAGATGTTTAGGGTACTAATACCTTCCCTTTACATAATCAACCCCCTTACCTTGAATATTTTCCCTCTTTTGGGTTACTCGCTTTTTTCCCATTCATTTGGAAACAATAAAGCGCAGTGACGATTTTTATTTTGATCTGTATAAGTCTAGTCAATCTAATTACTTAGTCTTAAACATTTTTACCGTTACACTTATCGAAAATTTTGAAAAATTCTGATATTAGATTATACTTTTCTAATACACTACCAGAAATTTAATTGTTATCAAAGATAATTTGATATTTTGTTCAGATATTTGTTTCCCATTTTAAAATTATCAAAATATGGAGGTGTTACGTATAACTAGGATGACAAATTAAATTCTCATATAATAAACTGATTGGACTAACAAGGTATTTTGTTAATTTACGTTATATCAATTATTTTGGCAGGTTTGTTATGTTTTGGTTCATTATTTTGAGGCATATCTCATATGTTATTAATATAATTGTTATTTGAACATTTAATATTTAAATTATAATATTATATCAATATTTTTATCTCTTTTTCTATTTTTTTCATTTCATGTGTTTATACAAATTTTAATAATATATTTATTATACTTAACATCTTTTTAGTATCCAAATTTAAGTGTCAAAACATTATTTTTCTTTAAAAAAAAATGTGGAGCAACTCAGACTTAAATTCCACCTCATCCATATGCCAAAAAAAAAAGTGGAGCAACTCAGACTTAAATTCCTCCTCAGAAAAAGAAACTAACATTTTGATCATTGACTCGAGCAAAACTAATTGAGAGAGAAGGATTCACTATGCCTTAAATTTATTTTTGACCAAAATTAGTCACACTAATAAACAACATTAGTGGATCCTTCATACATTGCATGGTTGTAAAAAAAATCGCCAATATAAGACTTGCTCTCAATAATAGAGTATGCAAAGAGTGATTAAGAAAATAGATTATAAAATATGATACAACCAAGTTACACTAATTTAATAAAATGAATACCAAGAATCATAATACATTATATATTATATGTAAAAAGAATTGCAATACAAGACATGTATGTGCTCAACAACAAAAATACGCAAAGAGTGATTAGCAATTAAGCTACTCTAATTAAACCAAAAAAAATGATAATTGACTAGAACTATATATTATTTTTTTTTCATCATATCTCAAATCCTCAATAATAGGATGAGAACCATGTGCAAATGGGGCCTTCCCACCTATCACAATTTTGGATTCTCAACTTTTAAGCAAAAACAAAAAACAAATATTGTGAAACCTTTCATAACAAATCAATAGCATTGCTCTAAAACATGATAGGAATGAAGTTCAAACCAGATTGAATAAAAATGTGAGAAAATCCAATGATTAAACCACAATGTTCTTGAACTACATTTGCTTCACTTCACAAAAATGATTTGTTTTTTTTTCTTTGAATTTACAAAATGTACATAATTTTGCTATTCAAATGGATCCACCCAACATTTATCTTCCTCGACCGCCTTTTCCCATCGTTTCTGGAAAATATCTAATTCTTGGTATGACAGCCTCCTTACCTGTATCCCCACCATAATAATATATTAGTCACAGAAAACAAATGATTAGGAAATTAATCAGATAAGCTATAAGTCATTATCATTTTTGGTCACAAGTCATTTTCAAACTCATAAAAGATTACATTTTAAGATGGCTATTGCACAAAACTCTAGAAGGTCAATGAAAAAATAATCAAAGAGAAACTATAAGTATAGTAAAACTTACATCAACTCTATGATCCTTTTCCTTTTCCTGAGATGAAACTGAAGCCTGTAGTGCAAGTAACAATTTATAATCATAAGAAATCTTGAATATTTTGCAAAGTTAAAATCTATAATAGAGATACCACTTTTTTTTTACCGTAGTCTTATCTATGCCTCCAAGAGTGGGACGATTGTAGTGGACAATGTATTCAGCATCCACGACACCAACATTTTTTGTCCGATCACCCTATTCATCACATAAACAATGTCAAAAGTTCTCTCAATTATGGACCGCGGAAAATAACAGTTTGTTGATAATCTCGTGTATATTAGTCCTATAACGCGATGCTATAAAAAAATTGGGAAAGCATGAAACTGAACTAAGACATAATGAACATATCATAACTTGCCTGAGAGCAGTAGCCAAGTTGCATATCTAGTCCCCATGCATGGACCAAGTCATTCTGTAAAATAAACCACAAACGATGAACAAATTGTATTTTACAAAGTAATTCTTTCGCATCTGCGCGAATGGAACAAAACGATGCACCTGAATCATGTACCAAACACAACGCCACGCAGCTTTTGAGAAAACAGGAGCCATTACTTCTATCCACCTGAAAATGCATAACTTCATATTTCTTCAACCGCGTAAAATAAATGGAAATCAACCTTGAATTTATCATTGCCAAGAGTTTTATTTTTACCCGGTGCAAGGAGGAGCAGTGCTATTTTCATCACAGCCTTTACCATCACTACCCGCAACTTTAAATGTTCTCCTGTGAGCATATGTTTTAGGTCATAACTAGTTCTAAAATCGCACATATGTTTGATTGTGATTCGTTGACAGTGTAAAACATTTTGCAGTGACCGTGCATCAAAATTAAAGTCGTACAAAATGTGATAGTGGATAACAAAAATAAGATAGGTATGCGCGTGAACCTGTGCACTTCCGACCTCCTCCCAAGAGCTGTAATCTGATGATGAACTTCCGATTGTTTAGGATCAAGTGCTGGTTGTGATATCTCAAGGCCTTCTTCTTTGACAATAGAAATATACCTTAAAAATCATAAAGGAAAAACGGAAAACACTAATCTTTAATAACATTGATTAGTTAAAATCCAATGGAAACAAACTAAAAACATATTCTATTTCTACATACTTCTTAGGATGGAAATTTTCGACGCCTAAGTCCTCGTCCCAAAGGAAAATATAATCATATTCTGCAACTATGTCGGGGTGTAAGAATCGTTTCGCGAACCACCTATTCGTTAAAAACATGTTCAGAAAAGCGCATAACACCTAAGATGATTAAAAATGTACACAAATTATGAATACATGAATTGAATGGGAAAAAATCATCTAGACACCTACCATTTGCTTTGATCGACTACGGATATATGAATAACACGATCATGCCATTCGAATGTCTTCCATTCGTCGACAATGCCATCGTAATGGAAAAGCATTACACTGAAATTACTTGCTAAAAACTGCGTTTTGGCGTGGAAAGAGAGTCATGAACTCATGATCCATAGATTAAACAGAGTATTATTAGTAATAAAACATCTTAACAAAAAAAACCTTTTTGACCATCTTGTCAACTAGATCTTTTTGCTTTATCCCAACTGCCATTGCAAATAAGTTTGTTGATAAATTCATCTTAACCTGTGCAAAACGTAACCAATTAGTAATCATCAAAATTAAATTAAAAGAGACTAAATCGGCTACTACTTAGTAAGTCCGGCCGCATCATAATCCTTGATGCCGTTGCAATTGAGGTCACATCAGTTACATTAGACTCATCCAATGTAACTGATGTGACCTCAACTGCAACGACATCAAACGCCTCCTGGCAACAGCAATCACAGAACAATAGACATAAAGGTGAGTGGTGAAAGGGAAGTGAAAACTCACATGTGGTTCAGGATGAGGCTGACCCCTCTTAATGTGAGGAGGAGCCCATAAAGGTCTCATCTCCAAACTCGAAGTGCTCGCGACTATACCTTCCGGTAACGCCTCGCTTCCACTAGGCCTGCACTTCTTCTACTAAACAAGATAAACAAATATAAGCACCAAACCAAACCTAAAAACATCTAAAACAATACATGATCTAGAGACAAAACAAACCTTGCAACTACTAGTACTTCCCATGTTTTGATTTATTGTGAAACTTGATAGTTTCTGCATAGCACAAAATCAATGACTGGAAAACAAAATTTACTTGATAAAATCCAAAGTCAAATTCATCATTTTCAGAATTTTATACCTCTTTGTAGCTTTGAGAGAAAAATGAAGTTGTGAAAAACAGAACAATACATAATAAAAGTGCCGCTGGTAAGATTGCATAGAAACATGGTATTTTACTCTTTGATTCAGCAACCAAAACCGTCTGGTTCAAAACACAAACACAAGGTTAGAGAAATTAAAAAAATCCTTTAAAATTAGGTTTAAATAATATAATCAATTTCAAAATAAAAAACCTTACTATCAAAAAAAAAATTGTGATTCCAATTCTGATACTATATTCTGAATAATCCATTGTATGATCAGAATTAAAAAAAAAAAAAAAGAGATTACCCGTGACGGCGACGGCTTCATGTCTGGCATTGCAAGATTCAGAAAACAGAAGAACAGAATGGTATTCTCTGAATCAAAATTAAAATAAGCAACGTGCAATTGTATTAGGAAGAAGAAGAATAATTAGGGATGGTGATGATCATTGATCATATCATAAACGTGATTAAAATTTGTAAGGTTTAATTAAACACAATAATTTTTGTTTTCTTGTGTTAAGTTTGAAGATTAAAGGAGAGTTAGTTGACGAAAGGAGCGGGAAGCAAAACACTTTTTCTGCCACAAACAAATATCACCCAACGTGTTTTCTTTGTTTTTATAACTAACTTCTAAGCTTGTTTTGTTGCTCATATATAGGAGTATTAAAATTTATGTATTAAAAACTTTGAATTTTCTCTCTTCTTATGTCTACTATTACAACTCAAACTTATGTCATCATTTGTGGGGTTAAACTTTTTTTATTGGAAATTTCTTATTTATCTACTATTTCTTATTGGTTGGTGATGCACAATACCATGTGCTTACATTTAGTCATTGACTAGAAAATGTTAGCAATAAATTTCATAGTTTTTTTCTCTGCTTAATTATTGCTTATTCATTCGTTGAAATTTTCTATTTTTGATATCATTCAATATTGTAAACTATACTCCCTCCTATTTTTCATTTCCTATTTCAATCATATCTTATGATACAGAAAAAAAGAATATGAATCAAGTCATAAATAAAGTTTATTAACATTCCATGTGAAAACGTGTTATATATATATATATATATATATATATATATATATATATATATATATATATATATATATATATATATATATATATATATATATATATATATATATATATATATATATATATATCAAAAAGTTACCAAAATTTTAATATATAGGTACTTGTTACGAATATAGTATAGTATATTTTCATAGGGTTATAAAAGTATATAGAATATTTTCCCTTAAAAATTGTATATTCTTTAACCGTTGTTATTGGTATTTAATATTCTTCACTTGAGCTTGTAACCTGCATTTATGACTTGTAAATATGACATGTATTGCAAAAAAAGATATTTAAGGCAAATATCATTAAGAAGAAAAAAAGGAAATTACAAAAGAAGGAGGGGATCTGACCAAAACGTCCATTAAAAAAATGTGTAAGTTTAAAATTAAGTCGATCTAATTTGTTGGAAATGATGCTAGACAAGATCCTTTGTGGAATATTAGTGAAGAACTGGTAACCATATATCAAAAGGCTTTTATTAGTCAACAAGTCGGCACATGAATTGGTCTCTCTATACACGTGAGAAATCAAAAAAGTTATCTTAGTATAAACATGACAATTATGCCATCTATTTTTAAGAGATCATGGGATAGAAATTTGATTGTTGAAAGCTTTGACTGTAACACTCCATTTCTATTTGGCGGATAATAATAAAATTAGAGTTCATCATAAATAGGATGCTACATTTTTTAACTTGAAATCAAACTTCATTTAATTGCATATAAAACAAATACATAACACTTAATTCGGATGAACTGATAACAACCTGATTTATTCTTTAAAATCAAACAACTTTTTATTGATAAGCAGCGGAATATACATATTCAACTTCAATTCACTTAACATCTTTATTCAACTAAAACAACTTCAAGACAACAGTTACTTCATGTAAACAACTTAAAGATTCGGCAACAAAAATAATAATCAACAACTAAACATCAAGCGTTCATCCCCCCGAGTGCTACGTATCAGAGCGACGACATTGACTCGATACTGACGATGGTAACAACTATTCTTCTTGATTACCTGCACGTTACCAACAGAGGGCAACATTCAAACAGAATGGGTGAGATATCGAACTATATAATTGAATGTATGATAATTAATATATCAGAATCAGTTCATATAAAATCACCACTTCACAACTTTCAAACATCTTTAATCTCAACAAAATATCAACACGACATAACAACTAATTCACAACCTTTAGATGATACCTGTCACAACAAGTCAACAACATAAAGCAACAAGAAATCTATCTTCACCACAACTCAAGATGCAACATTAAATGCGACTCAAGTACAATGCACATGCATGTGGTACCATTGGAGCAGAACTCCCAACTTAAAAACATTTGCCAGTAATCTCGAGACACAAGGCATAAGCCTTCTTCACAAATCATTTTGCCAATACAGGCCTTCGTAAAATCCGCCAATACAGGCCTTCACAAAATCCTCCAATACAGGTCTTCACAAATGCAAATGTATGAATGTACAACACATGCAACAACATCATTAAACACTTCACGAGGCATACACCTATATCACTACTTCACTGGCCATAGGCCTACAACGTCATCAACATAATTAACAATAAATCATCATTCATCGCAAGGCATAATCCTACATTACCATTGTTACCAGTAAATAGAGGTAATTCATCATCATCTAAAATTCTCTACAACTTCACATTATCAACAAGAATTCACAGCGAAAATCACAACAACTCAACATAATTCAACTTTGCCCGTAAGCCTACAACTTGATATTTCAACAACGACAATTAACACAACATTGGCATAAGCCTACAACTTAGTACGTCACAACAACAATATCACGATAACATGTCAACAACCATTCGACATTGGCCATAGGCCTACAACATAATATTGCCCATAATTATTCGGACAATTATCGACTATGCCGGTTAATTACTTATCTAAATGCTTATTTATAATTACAAACTTCTACAAATTTTTATACTATAATACTACATCATCATTATCATTGATATTATTATTATGAACCAAGCATTATCATAAGATCATCATGTCATCATCATACTTCATCACCACAAAACATCATGGCGATTCAACGTAGGAAAGCTAACTCTATCCTAACTTGGGTACTATAAATATCCTTCTTATCCTTCATTTTACTCCTTATAAATATAGTTCATCGCATTAGCTTTCCAATGCTTCAAACGGCGCATCAAACAGAGTTATGGTTCAAAAGTTATGGAGTTTTCAAGTTTTCAAAAATACTGTCAAACAGTGAGCAATCGATTGCACTAACATGCAAATCGATTGCACCTTGTTCCAGAGGCCAAAAATCACGTTTTTAAGCAGTGTAGTTTTTAAGCAGTGCAATTGATTGCTCTTCTGCTGCAACCGATTGCTTACTGAAATAGAATCAAAAATCCCAATTTTTAAGCAGTGCAATCGATTGCTCTTCTGCTGCAATCGATTGCACCTTGTGAAAACAGTTTTATGAATTCTGTAAAGTACAGTACCAAAACCCATTGTTTCAACTCCAAAGACACAAACTTCATGAAGTAATACACAATCAAACATCCAGCTATCATTGCTATCAACATACATCAATTACCATAAATACACCAATATCAACATAAAATAATTCTTCAACCACAGAGTCATCAATTGAATTTCTGCAACTTTATCAGGAAACACAATATTGTCGTAGCAACAAAACTTTTTCAAAACAAACACACACAAGCAATTTTCAAAAGATGATCAAATACCTAAGAGCCCGTGAAAAAACATGGATAGAAAGGGTGCTAATACCTTCCCTTTCTATAATCTACCCCCCGTACTCAGAATATCTCGAAAAAGGAATTTTTCTGTGCTTTTTTTCCTTTCCAGTTGGATAAAATAAAAGTCAGTGGCGACTCTTGCTTACCGCGACATTTTGCAAACACAAACGCAAAATGTAAACTAGCATTTTTCAAAACAGTCGGTTCTGCCACCGTATCACACAACCATATTGAAATAATGTACAAGAAATGAAATGGACTTGTTTTGTTTTTGTTAAGAGAAGAAATAAGTTTGCTTAAGAAAATATTTTTAATCTTTTGGTTTTAAAAGAGATAAAATAAAGTATGTGAATATAAAAATATTTTTGGTGTTTTTGACTAATGAAAATAGAAGTGATATTAAAAATAATAAAAGGGAAAAGAATCAGAATCAGCGCATTGCTGAAAGGATAGAAGTAAGGGGCAAAAACTCTGACTCTTATGTGCTGCAAATCAAAAAGAAAATGTTAGCAGAAGAGGGGAAGGTCAGAAGTTTTGGGCCCGGGTACACTAAAGTTCGGGGGTTACTGGGGACCAAGGAAATCCTAGAAGTTTTGATGCAACTGGAAGCCTAGAAGTTTTAATGTTACTGGAAGATCAGAAGTCCGGGTTGTTGAGAGAGTCTGGAAGTTCAGATGTAGCTGGAAACCCAGAAGTTCTAGTGTCACTGGCAAGCTAGAAGTTCTGATAATGGGTATGTGAGGTGTCAATGCTGTTGGATGGGAATGTCTAGAAATTATGGCCCAAGAACATTGTTTTGACAAGAAAATAAAGGGGATTGATCTAGAAGTTCTGATCCAAATAATTGGGTAAAAATTTCAGGAAATAAACATAAAAAGGGTATTTCTTGGGCTAAAACTCAGGACCCTTAACACTAACGTCTTAAGCGTTCACTCTCTACCACTGGAGTGACTATACATCTGGTATTAGAAGCAAAAACATAAACATATATCACAAAGTAAATTCTGATGATGAACTTTATCTCCTTCTTCATACCAGTCAGAGCATCTGCAACTTAGTTATTCCTCAACAAAAATGAAGAATGCAAACATAACAATTATGGTAGGTTTCATCATGGCTTCAGAAACATAAAATATCAGGACTGTAAATCAGAAGCAAACATGTATTTTGCTGATCCTAATTCTAAATCCTAATTTCCTCAAGAAGTTTTGAACTGAAATTTTCTCTACTTAGGCAAAAATACATGAAATCTATGAATATCTCCAGAATCAAAGTTAGGATGTCTACATTGTATTTTTTGCAAATGCAAGCCTAACAATACCTAAGTAATGTGATAAAAGTCAGCAGAAGCTTGCCTTGCAGCTGGAAAATATTCTGTGAACTAGAGCCTGGTTCTGATTGTTGTGATGTTCTGGTTAGCTTCCCTCAATTCTCAGAAATCTAGAACAACCCTTAACTTGAACTATGAATGGCTGG